CCCTGGCAACCAACAAAGAAAGTTTCCCTCCATATATAAATCTTTCCTTGACCCTCCACAACTATCAACTAGTACTATATTAGTCCTTCTGTGATTGACTTATTTCACTCAGCATAATGTACTCCAAATTCATCCATATTACGCAGTGTTTTGAAGACTCTACATTATTCTTTAGGGCTGCATAGCATTCCATTATGTGTATGTACCATAGTTTGGTCATCCACTCTTCCACTGATGGGCACATAGGTTGTTTCCATCCTTTTGCTATTGTAAATAGTGCTGCGATGAACATGAGTGTGCATGTATCTGTTCCTGTCCTGGCTCTCATCTCTCTAGGATCCATACCTAGTAATGGGATTGCTGGGTCAAATGGTATCTCCAAATCCAGCTTTCTAAGGAATCACCATATTGCTTTCCACAGTGGTTGCATCACTTCACAGTCCCACCAGGAGTGTATGAGCATCCCAATCTCTCCACATCCCCACCAGCATTTGCTATTTTCTGTCTCATTGAACCTTACCATCAGTGCTGGGGTGAGATGGTATCTCATTGTTGTTTCGATTTGCATCTCTCTGATAGCCAATGATTGTGAGCATCTCTTCATGTATTAGCTAGCCACCTGAATATCCTACTTGGTGAAGTGCCTATTCATGTCTTCTGCCCATTTTTCAATTGGATAGTTAATTCCTTTGGTGTTGAGGCATTGGAGTTTTCTATAAATCTTAGGGATAAGTCCCTTGCCAGATATGTAATTATCAGCAAATATGAATTTGTTACTGTCATTTTTGTTATGTGCTTTTTTTGGTGTCAATTTCTTTGTTCCATGTAATTTTCTATGCTGAGTTTGTTTTGTTTATGAATTGAGTTATCACTTCCTTTGTTGCTATTGTTTCAGTATTGGCTAAATATTTGTGCTGGTCCTCTCTTTTATTTTGATGTGAAGGTTTTCTTTGAGGTTACTCTGTGATTTATAATTTTCTTTCCAAGTTTAGAACAGTCCATTCTATCTTGTAGTTGTCTTCACATCCCTACCATCTGTTGTTCTTGTTGTTATGTGCCATCGAGTCGGACCCGACTCATAGCGACCCCTCCTTGGGTTTCTGAGGCAGTATCACTACGGAAGTAGAT